AAAATCGCTTAAAATGGGCACTAAAATATCACAATGTGGGCCGGGCTAAATTTTCCCAAAAAAAAAGATTTTAGAACTATGAAGGGCCTGCATTTTACTGTTTAGCCGTTTTAACTAATGTGCAGTGACCAGTAAGTGTGATGGGCTAAAATATGACAGTAACCTGTGCAACATAAAGTAATACTACCGAGCATGGTGGATAATAGGCAAAAAGCAATATTTTCCGTTTTTATAATTAGCTTTTCATGACTACCAGTAGATCTGATATAAGAGATATATTTACTCTAGTTCGGCGAAGGTGACGAAAGACTGATAGTTAAATTTTCCTATTCGACACCTTTTGACACAAAAACCATATGAGGGTATGAGTAAGCCTCACCCTATTTCACGTCGACCAATCAAAGCTTGGTATCGCACTGTGCATGCATTTTAAAACAACTAGGCTCTATGCAAAACTACGCGATGGTATTTTCAAGCAGCAAACATACTGGGTAGGCCTTCACACCATGTGTTTAGACTCTGATATTATCCACCACCTTCAATACCTGACTTCCTAAACTGTGATACAGCTGGTTCTCAATAGGACACTTGGTGATACAACTTTTCCTTCTCTATTCATTCTAGGAGATACAACGTTGTATGACGTAGCCGAACATCAGAGCTTTTCTATTTTAGAAGCCGACTTGATCACAACAATGTAAAGATGACTGATATATTAAAATGTCTGGTCCACGCAAGATGGCCCTAGCAACTCCAAAGTAAATTTTTTTGGTTCGCTCCAAGACCAACTTAAGAAACCTGTACGCTAATTTTTTTGCAGAAAACTAATGTATAAAGTACTTAAACTTATGGGCGTAAAGATTAATAGCAGTTGTTTTATCTTTTTTGAAATATCAATATCAATACATACCTGACAATGTGGATGGGGATTAGAGCTGCCCATAAGCTCTCCACGATTCTCAAATATTTGAATCCATTTGAAACGCCCATCAGAAGCATATTCTTGTGTCAAAAGGCACCAACAATCGATTATTTGTTTGATATCATCTGTCGACATAGAAGCCAAATGGAGTTCGGATCGAGGGTGAAAACACATAACTTTACACTCCCCTTTTGCAGGGCTCCATGCAAATAGTGGATCAGAATCAGGTGAAGAACCAGTATTATTTAATTCTTCATCCATTTGGTCCTTATTATTTTAAAAGATTCAATCGTATAGGTGATTGTGAAAACTAATTAAAGACACATTTCTATCTTCATATGTACAATATGAGGTTAAACATGTATGCATAGTAATATACTCAAATTAAAGTAAGCATTAAATCCCAATAAACAAATCGAAGTATCATTTCTATTGGTATTATTAGGGAACCATTTTAAACATAGATAAAGCTAAAACAAGTCGGCGATTCTGGGTAAGAATTGCAAAATTCCCAAAAAAATTTTAACGCCCAAATAAACCTATAACTAAGAATAACAATGAGTAAAACAATATGTCCTAAGACTTCTATTTCAAGCATGGAAAGTGGCACAAAAATCTCAACGTTTGCCACCGGTAAAAAACCCTTGAACCTTTTATTCGGTCGTATACTGATAGAAGTCTGAAGCTTATCCAACAATAAATAGTTCAAATGAATGAAACTTAATTCCTAGGAAAAATAGGGGCAAACATATCGTAAACTAAAATACCTTAAGCGGAAATAGGCAAAATGAAATAAAATACGCATTAGCTTTATTATATGCTAGACGAATTGTTTGTTGTATCTACATACCAAAGCAGGGAAGTCATTGAGGAAAACATACGTTCCGACGTACTCAGGGTTCTTTGCGCCACTTGCGCGTATAGCCCCTGGGAGCAATTGATTAAAGGGGAGTGAGGGTATACAAGACTCCTTATCACTCATACCTCCCCAAGGTCGTTTGAGACGATTTGGAGAAACGATAATCCACTCATTGGTTA